CGTTGTAAAGATGCTCTGGGTCCCCAATGGGGAGAGAAGTGAGGTTGTAAATGAAGCAAATGGATATAGAACATACTGCACCAATTAATGCAGTACATCGTAACTGGCAGTGTAACGTTCCCTTCAGTTCAAGCATAACCATTCTGTAAAAACAGCTTTTGGGTACCACTGAATTCCCAAGATCTTAAAAGTGCTGCCCGCTAATCACCTTTTAAGAAGAGGAAAAGCTAAGGGCTATATGTTGCCAATCAGGTGGGCAAGTTTACTAAGAAACTTGCTAAACGTTTAACACATATAGAGCCTCAAGAATGCTTAAATGGGGAAGATGCTAACCATCCAATTCCAAGCAGAGTTAGAAGAGTATAACTGAACCAAACTGTGGACTGGTGTTTAGTACCAGAATGCCAATGATGCAAATGGGTACGTGCTACCTGGACAGACCGAAGCTTACCTCCACCTCTGCCACGAGCTCTTCCAGCAAATCCCCCCCGAGTTCCCCACTGCTGCTGCTGCTGATACTGTTCTTTTGACATGGCTACTTTTATTTCACACTGAAAGAAGGGAAAAAAAGTAACTTGAACACACAGCTTGCCAGTCTTCCAATATACTAAGCACCTATTCTACACCTGAGTAATTAATTTTGGAGTGTTAAGTGAGGAATGACAACACACCACAAGGAGCAAGACTTCTGACAGCACGAGGCTTATAAATATTTATAACCAGAACTTGAGACTAGGAGGTAACTTAAGAGTTACAAAGCAAAGTTCTCTCATGATGTCAAGTGAGATACAAAACTTACATGAGGTGTAATTTAGCTATTACTCAATATTAAGCAGTGTTACTTCTATTCGCCTTAATCAGGAAAATCTTGGTTGATAAGCTTGAACTAGTTACAGGACCAGGAACTGGCTGCTATTAAGTAAAGTGATGCCTACTTCAACTAAAAATCTACAGTCTATATATCTATGCAGGCAGGGGGCATTGAGCAGAGAAGAGTAACTGGAATAGTTAAAGAAAGGCAAAGTTCCAGAATGCTGTTTACCAAAAATTAAAACTCCTAATGAGCTCCGATGCCCAAAAGAAAGGGCATTTCAGCATAAGGAGGTATTCAAGGCTATAAAGTCAGAAGCAATTAAAGGCAATTAAAGAGTATCACTCAGCACTTAAAGTTCCAGAATTCTTTACTGGCCAGACAAGCGGAAGAGTTGTACATGTTTCTACAGCTGCACTGGTGGAACTTACAAGGGCCATTCCATCCCTAGCATGCAGGACCAATAGCTACTTTTTACAGGTGCTCTGTCCACACTTCACTGGCTTTGGCCGCACTCCCGTCTCTGTTATCCCTGCGGTTTTGCTCAGTGACTCTTTCTCCAAAAAAAGGCGCTCTGGAAGGATAGCTTGAAACATACTTTACTAAGACCAACGTTGTGGTATTTTTTCTCCATGATCTTCTTCACTGGCTCCTCCTCTTTGAAAGTAATGAAGCAAAATCCACGCCGTTTATTGGTTTTGTTGTCCATGGGGAGTTCTATTGATTCAACCTGGTTAACAGACCAATGCATATAATATAAACAGAACAGTACATTCAGACTAGGCCACTGTATTTGCACTTTTGGATGAGGTGATGCTGGAAAATGCCTAGGCAGTCTTGGTCACCTGCCCCAAGACAGACTGCTTGCCTCTGAGGTAACTTACCCACCCCCAGTACCTTAATTATTATCACGTAATTTTGGTAAGCCCGTAAAACACTGGGAGCACACAGAACAAGAAGTCGTCGAGATCGAATTTTTGCTCCCGAAAGCTGTTAGCATTTGCCGCGCTAAAGATATGGATGATAGGCGGATTTTCCAGGCGCGATCACACCGCAACATCTGGGAAGTGTAGTGCACCCGTGGCTAACCTGTGGCTTTGTGCCGAAAATACGGAGTAAAAAACTAGTACGATGTACTAGTTTCCGGAAAACGCGGGGCAAGGGCGGGCGTCTGATCGCGTCCCGTCCTAGTCCAGTCGCAAACCAGTTAGGGGTTTTTTTAAAGTCTGCACAGGATGCACACAAATGATCATGTGCATGCTCACCTTTTGGTGAGAAAAAAATATTCCCGTTTGCTACGGAAGCGGCGCCTAGCAATTGCTGGTGTGATGGTGCCGTGCCGCTTCTTTGCTGCACAGCAGGATAGCCGTGTGATCGGCACCTCACGCCCTAACCACGGGACCTTGACGGGACATGTGACCGGGCGTTATTTGGCTCCGAGGCAAACAGCCACGCTCCCCCCCCGCCGCATTTTCCAGCCGGTGTAACTGGGGCCCAAGTTCTTAAAGTTACACAAAATTTCCCAAAACAGAACTTAAGTACTTATCAGATGTCATACTCTGACGCAAAACCAGAAATTCAGCAAATGAGCAGTTTCCACCAATTTGCCTCAAAGCCATTATATTCTTAAGATTTAACTTTTTTTTGTCTGAGTCAATTAGACTAGTAGTCTTTTATAGTGAAGCAATCAAGTGCAACCCACATCCCATTGTAGTCAACAGCCAACCTCCCATCGATTTCATTGAGCTGGCAGCACCCTAAGGCTCTGAAAACTAATTATTCCCAACCACAGCATCAGAAAGGTCACAGCCATCTGTCAACTGACTTGAGGTGGAAAGCCAACAGGAACATAAAAACATCTAGCCTGGGAACACTCGCCCCTTAGGGATGATGAGCTGAACGTTTTATGCCCTCAGATTTAGGACAGGGTAGAAGTTCCTGGGAGCACAGACACAAAGAGGCAGCACAGCTAGAGTCCCCAAGAAGATTAAGAGGATCAGAGCTCATAGCTGCATTTACGCTCCTGCTAAAAACCTCAAAGCCAAGATGGGCAAATTAAAGAGTGCTTGGAATTATAGAGGGAATTTGCAGAGAATTTGAAAGTAACCGATATAACTTTTTTTAAAAACACAAAAGACCCAGGAAACACACTGGTTTATGTTCTGCCCAGGTATATTAGTGATATAGAACCATTAAACACAGTGAAAAGCAAATCATGGCTTCATAGAAGTCTTTCTTCCAACAGCCTTCTGAAGTCCTTGGAGTGTTTATGGTCATACATGTAGAGGGTAATCTGGCAGACATTATATTCTGGGGCTTGAATCCTTTCCAGCATGAGCAGAGCTTACAGAACACACGCTCCTGCCTCCATCTACCACTGTGGCCTGCTGACCCCTAAAATTGTGGCCAGGGGGGGGGGGAGAGCAGGGGGTGCCTTTTTCCCAGCAGAAAATATGATTTAGGAGAGACTGTCAAAAGCTTTCTTTAAAGTCCCTCAGCAACAGCTAAGCAGTAACAGGTGGACAGATCGTCTTACCATAACTAGTTAAAGAACATAAGGTACAGGGGAGAAGCTGGTTAAGAGTTTTGCATCACAGAGTGAAGTCAGCAGTGTAATTCACTCGGTGATCTGTACTGGGACTGAAGAGCTCCAGAAGCAGTTCGCCAAACTGGATGAATGGGCAACAAAATGGGAAACATGACTGAAAGTACAGCACACTGGCCCAAAAGTTCTGGACTGATTGGTATGCCGATAGAGCCTTACTAAGATTATCAGAAGTAAAGAAGGCTTGGAGTGATGGCATTTTACTAAAAGTGTGTGCTATGAAAGAGACAGCAAACGTGTTTAAACTCCTCTCCTAATAACTTCAAAGTAGAACTTCCAACACCAAAACGCCTTTATATTAAAAGCTATGATAAAGCCGCATTTGAAATACTGTGTACGATTCTGGCTGCTGCATCTCAAAACGTATAGTATTCGAGAAGGTGAAGAAAAGGGGCAGTTCTTTTGAAAAAAAGGCTGAGGCTTTTCATGATCTGACAGCCCTCCAGGCCAGTTTCAAGTGCCTTCCAAATACACTTATCTGCTCTTTTCTCACCCTTGGAGACTGGTTACATACTGGTACGTGAGTCTACAATGCATAGCATAAAGCAGTGTATGCCATCATTAAGCTCTAACCCAGATTTCAAAGAACAATACCATCATCTTCAAACACTTTTTGAGGTGGTGGGGGGAGACATAATTTAATACTGTGGAGTTAGTCAGGTCCTTTCTACTCCAGTGTGCCTAAAACTATCAGAAGATAACAGAACATGGGAGGGAACACTTAAAATATGACTGCACGGGACCCTCATACAGCCACCAGCTTAGCAATATGAGAAGCATAACTGTGAGAACAGTTTCTTAAAGCTCAAGCTCGAGTATTTTAAGCCCCAAACACACAGGGCGATGGCTTACCTCACCAAAACCTCCAAAGTATTCCCTTATTTTTTCTTCAGGTGTATCTGGAGATAAGCCCCCAACAAAAATCTTTTTAACTGGCTCTTTTGTTTTCATCGCTTTAGCCCTTTTGGGGTCAATCACTTTGCCATTCAATTTATGCTCCTTCTGATCCATAACCTGCAAAGAGTTACATCTTTTTTTAAAAAAAATAAATAAAACCAGCTATCATAAAAACAAAGTATCCTAAGCAAAGTATTTTCAAAAACATGCAAGAGCACTAGAATTTTAGAAAAACTGTTTCAACACTTAACAATGAATATAAAAAACCCAAACATACCTTGTCCACACTCTCAGATTCCTTGAACAGCACAAAGCCAAAACCTCTTGACCGACCAGTAATAGGATCCAGCTTCAGGGTGCAGTCCACAACTTCACCAAATTTGGTGAAGTAGTCCTTCAAGTCTTTCTTTGTAGTATCCCAGCTAAGCCCTCCAATGAACATTTTCCTGCAAATAAGTTTTAAAGCTGCTGAGCTTCAAAAGAAAAAGAAAATTCCACATTCAAACAGCAAGCTGTGGTAAGATACCCCTACATTACCCTCACTCCAAATACATGTTTCAGAACTAAGCCTGGTTGAGTTTAAATGTTATTACGTTAGGGACTAACCTTTTTAAAAACACCCAGATCTACAACCCTGTCTTGTGACCAAAATGTGCTAGGCTATAAAACTGAACTCAAAATCGGACATACAATCAATGCACTAATAACTGGACTGGGGGGGACACAAAGTATTTACTGCATGATCAATAAATGCTTGCTCATTGTAAGACTGCTATATGAAGATAATTTAATGGGTTTTGACAAGAGGATGAAAGCAACACAAATACGACTTTAAAACACACACACACACCCCTAAACACAGAACTCATGAGAATTTCAGAGAGAAGCTATATTGGTCTGCAGTAGAAAAGCTAGACTGGAGTGCAGTAGTAGTACCACAGAAACCAACAAGATTTTTGGAGTATAAGCTTTCAAGAGTCGAAGCTCCCCTTTGCCAAAGAAGAGAGCTTTGACTCACAAAAGCATATGCCTCAAAAATCTTGTTGGTCTCTATGCTACTGGACCTGAACAGAGCTCATATGACGGCTTCTCCATTTCTGGGTCAGGAGGACTGAGAAGCGAGCTCTGACTTAGCAAGCAGGTGGCAAAGACAGGAGGGAAGAAGAAGATCACGGGGAGCTGGGGTCAGTTTGGGCCCATCTCCTCACAATGGTGGGGGAAAGAGAAGGAAGGAGCCGATATGTTCCCACTTCCTTCATCCTATGGACCAACTCCTTCACTAAGAGAGGCCAGCAGTGGTCTCCAGTTAGAATATTTGAGAGCCACTGACTAGTAGTCATTCTTCTCCCACCCTGTAAGCCTAACCACTTGACCAAGCAAGCAGACTGCAGGAATACTGAAAGGCTCTCTCAAAGCCACCCCCCCCCTGTACTGGAACAAGAATTGTAATTAACTATTGTGACAAGAGTCACACCCCGCTCCTTCCTCCACTGCTAGTCTGTTAATACCTGTCACAATAGCCCAACATGCTTCTCACAACCTGGAAACTTTTCTGTGTTAAATAAAGTAGTACAGCCAGTTAAATATGGAGGTGACAGTGTTATGTGTGTGGCTCATGTGATGTGACCAAACCTCCTTTCAGTCTAAGGCAACAACAGATAACAGTGAAAACACAAACCAGCATAATTGGCATGCCATGGAACTTCTACTGGATAAAATTCAACAATAAAATTCCACACCAAGTGCCGCTTTGAACATATTTTATGATGTGTATGTTTCTGTTCCACAAGATTGTGCGCTGATAGGCTTCTACAGCTACTAGAAAGGCACAAAAGCACCTAACTCCACAACTAGCCAAGATGATCACTACAGTCGGTTCCATGATAGAGAACACTCAAATCTCTGACAAAGGACCAGACGGAACCCAAGAGTTTCTCTGCCATTCACTCTTGACGTTGACAGGACCTGTCAATCCCTTTGCACCTGCGCCACCAGCTATTATCAGAAAGAAAAGAATCTTGTTTGTGGTGGTGATGTAATAAGTCACATGAATAATGTCCATCAGGTAAATGATCAATTTTAGTTGATTTTCCCTTAGTCTTAGTTATTCCCCCCTTTTCCTGTAGGTCTCCCCCCACCAAGGAACATTTTGTTACACGTATTTTATTAAAGCATTTTTTAAATTAAAAGGTCAAGACTGGAGAAGTAATTCCAGTGTGAACAAGTTTTGGATATTCCACATGAGATAGCACTGGAATCATTATGCTAATCAAACACATAACCAAAAAGCAGCTACAAACTTGAGACATGTTCTACCACTCCTTGCATAGCACTAGAGGCATTCGTAATAACTACATAAGATTCCCTACAGCTTTCCAAACAAGGCCCAGTTTGGAAGAGAAGTAATGCCCGTGTGTGTGTGTGTACTATCCAATGCATTCAGTGGTGCAGCGTGACCCAAAACAGTGGCCTGTGCCAGTCATCGTCAGCAGGCAGTCCCTTCACCTATCAGTAAACAGCTGTGGAGCTCCTTATCTTAAGACTGCACCCAGTAGCACCATGCAAGTCAAATGCCACTGCCAAATGTGGTTCCCTGTCTTTGGGCATGAATCTTGGACTGAAGGAACCAACCAACAAATTGCACCCCAACTGAATGCAAGAATAAATGGAGAATGTTGCAGGCTCCCTCAGACTATTTTGAGATGTGGTTCACAGGATAAACTGACAGACATACCTTTAAATTTAGTGCATGGGTAATATACAAGCAAGCGCCAAATGCAAAAACTATGTTGCTGTGCTCTAGAACATGAGAAAAGGATTGTATAACCTTGTGCCGTTCCGATCAAAAAGTGCCTCTTGCCAGACTTGCAAAGAAAAAAGCAGCTGGCCCACAAAAAACTAGCCAGTGTTTGTTATTTCTGCCACACTGTAGGCTGAAAGATGTGTGTGATCTTTACCAGGCTGTCAAAAGCTTCTCAATACCTACAGGCGATTCTTCATTGCCACAGAACCAGAGGAGCAAAGACTAATAAGCACAATTGTAGCCAGGTGCTTTGGACACTCCAAGTGGAAGACAGAACTCAACATTTTAATAGTTTCCTTTATTAGTAAATTAAGAGGCTCAGACATCGCTTCTAACAGATGACTGGGTACATTAGATAGCTATGTCTATACTAAAAAAAACTCCCACAGATGGAAGTGTTAAGGATAGAAGAGGGATAGCTAATGATTTAAATATCCTGAGCACCTTTAGGAAAACTATAATTTCTACAGTTTTTGCTAATGCTAATCCAGTTTAGGTCTGTCTGAAATAAAAACAAAGGCCAACTGAGTTCCATTGATCAAATGCTTTCTGACACAAAAGGAAACTGACAGACTGTGTACTGAGCTACCTCTTCCTGTTTATATATCACGCAGTAAGCAAGAAAACCAGGACTTGCATTAACTTCCAGACTTGAAGTTGTTTACACAACATTCTTCAACAATTAACACATACTTAATCATTCAGGAGCAGCATAGAACCTCCACGTGTATAACCTGCCCAGGAAATCTCAAGGAAACCACAATAAGTGGAAGAATGGTGAAGACATCTTGTAACACAAGCCAAACAGCAGGCACAGTGGCAACGAACCTGCAATGCCCATCTGCGTTTCTGCATATGTATTAACTTTACTTCTACTGGAATTAAAGAGATACTGCCTGTTCAAAAAGGGCAAGATCCATAGAACACAGGGATAGGCTCTCCACCCGTACGGTTCTATGCTATTTCAACCACATTATCCTCCACTCCCATACACAAATACAACCACTACCCAGAACTTTTAGTGAAAGGTAGTCTTAAGAGGTCATATGCAGAAAGACACAGCTGATACTTTCTTAGGAAACATTCCCACAGGACCAGGGAAAATGCACAGGTACTGCTCTCTGCAGGGGGACTGAAAAGAACAGCAACCCCAGTGCATGTGTGCCACCACCCCAAAAGGGATTACGTGCACTGCAGGCATGTCTTTAGATTAGATTATCCTGCAGGCTACCTTGTACATTTCAGCATATTACGATCTTCCCCCAGAAAAAAAAAAATACACATTGCACAAGAGTAAGTGGGAAGATGATCTCTGGCAATTATAAAACATGCCAAGACAGTATTTCAGAACCACAGGTGAAAAGAGGTTGGAAATATATAGGCCACAGGTAAAGCTCAGATTCTCCGGGGGGGGGGGGGGGCCTGACAAAAAGAGGGCTTTAAAAAATTTCTTTTGGCTCCAGGGACCTGCTCAAAAGCACAGGCATCAGACTAATGTTCAGGTCTCCAGGGTTTTGTATTTTAATGACCATGTTTTCTAATTATAGGCCCCGGTCACACAGCAAAGTTGCCGCGGGAGAGGCACAGAAGGTGGACGGATTATCCGGGCGCGATCACACCCCAACATCTGGGAAGTGGAGCGTACCCGTGGCTTACCGCCGACAATGCGCAAGACAAGGTACTAGAAAACATTTGCCACGGGCTGCCTTCAGACGCCCGTGGTGTGATCCCTCCGGTCCCTCATTTACCCGCTGGCGCCGAGGGAAGGACCCGTGGTGTGCTGCCGGCCCGTCTGATCGCGTAATCGCGGCTCAAACTGCGCCAGGGCAATTAGCCACGCCTCTCCCCCCCCCAAACATCCGGCCATAGTCACCAAAAAACCTAACCCTAAACTCATAGTTTCTCGCACATTTTATTCAAACCATGACAAAAGTATTATAGTATATAAATACCCCTAGCATAACCTCCCAAATTTCCCACAATTTTATTACTGCTATTTTAATTGAGTCCAGTGGCACCTTTAAGACCAATGAAGTTTTATTCTGGGTATAAGTTTTCATGTGCATGGACACTTCTCCACTTATACCCAGAATAAAATTTTGTTGGTCTTAAAGGTGCCACTGGATTCAAACTTTGTTCTGCTGCTTCAGAACAACATGGCTACCCCCTTGAATCTATTTAATTGAATACTGGAGCCAGGATAGAAACCAGCTGGTTAAACTATTCCACCACTGCTGAATAGTAATGACAAAAACTTGATGCCCTTGCATTTTATGTCAAACAAAACATTCTGATGCCAAATGATACTATCAGGAACATTCAAAACCTGAGCAGACCTACAAGATACTCTCATTTCCCAGCCTGCTGTACAGTTGTGTAAGAGCACGGTCTTCTAGAACAGGGGTGTCAAACACACAGCCCGGGGGCCAGATCAGGCCCCCAGAGGGCTTCTATTAGGCCCGCAGTGGAAATGGCTGTCTTCTGCTGCTTCTTCCAGTTCTGCTGCTGCGTCATCATAGGTTTGCAGCTTACAGATACACAACTGAAAAGCATACTCAAGATTGCAACAGCACAGGCATTTTAATGCAATAATTCAGAGCAAGAGGTGTCAGTTATCAGACCCTGTTAAACCACTATCTGTCAATACATTTTACGACACACATGGCCCTGCCCAACAAGGTCTCATTTATGTCAAATCCGGCCCTCATAATGAGTTGGACACCCCTGTTCTAGAGCATCAACAGCTATTACAAGTCTAATAACCTCCTACTATTAAATATGAAGCTCCTAACTCTTAGGTCGAACATTCTGTTTTACCCATGGGAGCTCTCTGGATATTAAACCTTCCAAATTAGAGCAACTAGTGGTTTGGGAAATGAAGTGGTCACAGAATTTTTTAAAAAACCAGACAGCAAAAAAATGTGTCCAGAAAAAGAGCAAGAACCATATGACAATACAAAAAAAGACAGCATTAAGTAATATAGCATACAGAAACGTATGCCATATTAGTGGAGTGCGGAGGCAAGCCCTTGGGCATTCTTGTCAGCTATCTTTAGAAGCCAAACAGAACACATGTGTTTTGATGAACAGAAAGCCAGAACTATGGAGAAGTTAAAATGAGCATATAAATATGTTTAAAATGAGCATATAAATATGTATTTAATTTGTAGCTTATCCTATCCCAAACATTTGGGGAGAAACGTGGTTGAAGTCATGAAGACCATTAAAAAAATCCAGCTAAAGTTAATGTGCTCAGGCATGCTTTAAACATCAGGGGAAAGCAACTGCCACCAAAAAAATTAGCTCAAACCGTGCAGGGGCAGCTTCACACAAGCAGCTAAACAATATGCCATCTGGGTCCCCTTTGTAAGGGAGAGAGCTCAGGGCTTTAGTGAGTTTCAAGGGTAAGGATGTCCCACAGCTGAGGGACAACGCGTGTGTGTGTGGGGGGGCCTGACGGGCTCTTCCAATCCTAACTAGGGCACTGAGACAACATTTGATGTTATCACAACATGTAGCATAAACTTAGATGACCTATACTGCTGGGTCTTTAAAGGGGCCATTGGACTCTAAATTTGTTGTGCTGGGTCTTTAGGCCTTCAAGACATAAAAAGCCTTATGGAACTTAATAAAAGCCAAGGCTTCCAGAGCAATGGTCCTCTGCCCTCTCTGCAAGGATTACTAGCTTTTTGGAATATCGCAAATAAGACGCCTTGCAGTAAAGAAAGGCATGCAGGACCATGCCTAGAGCCAGCTGCTGCGGCTTCTTTTTTTGCCATCAAGTTGCTCCTGGCTCATGGGAACTGCGATTCTTCAAGGCAAGAGACTGTCGGGGTAGTTTGCCATTGCCTAACTCCGCGTTGCAACCCGAGTATTCCATGGCAGTCTCCTGTCCAAATACTAACCCAAGGGATCTGACGAGACCGGGCTATACAGGTCACAGCAGCTGATTATTATAGGATTCTTCAGAAAGATACCGAGAGGGAAGCAGCTCGGTGGTGAATATTTTTTCATGCATTATGTAACTGGCACGATATAGCTTAGCGGAAGAAACATGGGAGAGTCCTGACGTATCATGGACAGTTGTGATTGTTAATGTTGTTTGTTGTTCAGTCGCACAGTCGAGTCAGACTCTTCGCGACCTTGTTAATGAGGATCGTCAAAAGTCTTAAAAGTCAGAAAGCAGTTTAGGTGGATATGCTAATTAAACTGAATGACAGTTAAGCTATATGCCATCTCACGGATACCCTCACTTATGAGAAATGGCAATGAGATCCAGCACTGTCTTCAATGGGAAATTCCTGATAAGACCTAAACAATACCATGTGCAGCCACAAATACAGAAGGGCAGATATGAAGACTGCCATGGGAGCAGGAAGACAGGCTTCATGACGGAACAAAGGAGAGCTGCCTAGGGAAAAGCCCCACATTTACTGAGGACTCAAAAAGAAATTGTGTTTAGGTGGATATGCTAATTAAACTGAATGATAGTTAAGCTATATGCCATCTCATGGATACCCTCACTTATGAGAAACGGCAATGAGATCCAGCACTGTCTTCAATAGGAAATTCCTGATAAGACCTAAACAATACCATGTGCAGCCACTAATACAGAAGGCAGATATGAAGACAGTGCCATGGGAGCAGGAAGACAGGCTTCATGACGGAACAAAGGAGAGCTGCCTAGGGAAAAGCCCCACATTTACTGAGGACTCAAAAAGAAATCCTCACACATCACAGTATATTCCAAACCACTAAATTCCAAAATAAATGTGAAGATTCATAGGACTTTGTTCACAACACATGTCGCAAGCCACCACTTTATACTATGAAAGCTTAAGGAGAGGCAGAGAGCTATATATATCTCTATATCTGAAAGGACAGCTTGCCCATCTGCTATGTGAAAGCCACAGCTACATGCCGGGCGGCCTATTATAATGCATAAAATAAACAGGCATTATTTACTTTTAAATAAAACAGCTCCCCATTTCCACCAACACACCAAAAATTCCAAATTCTAATCAGATCCTTCTGTTCCTTTAACACAGCTCTCTTTGGACATCTGTAACAATAACTCAAGCCTTTATTCAACATCCACACTGTGCACAGAAACAGAACTGGGCCCAAAGAATGTATGTTAACACAGAGCATTCAGGAACTAAAAACACTTGCACAGAGCCAGGAATCTGTGGCTACTGCTTGAAGAAGTTTGGCCAATTTGTCCCCAAAGGAATTCAAATCCAATCCTCAAACCTAAAGCAAGCTAAAAAGTATGTTTTAGATGTTTCTTCTGCATTCCCAAGGATATATAGTCCTTCTCAAGCAGTTGCTCTATTACTACAAAGAGACAATACACACTCCAATGCCAAGACTGTTATTTCTATTGTGGCATCACTAAACGTTGTGGACCAATTTAAACTTGACAAACCTCGACCTCAAGTATGTACAATCCAGTGTCAAGCTCATTGTCCTTCCATCTATCCTCAAAGAGCAGTGTCCAGAAAGCTCCACAGCCTCCCCTTGACATTCAAGAAAGCCAGTGCGGCCTAATGGTTAGTGCTAGATTAGAACCTGTGAAACTACACCAGGAAGTTTACTAGGTGGCCCTCGGAACAGTCTCCTCTGTCAGCCTCACCTACCACACAGGGCTGTTGTGAAAAGAAGGGAAAGGGATATCAGCGAGACCCCCTTGGAGAAAGGATGGGATGAAAAGAAAGCATTTTGGGCCGACCAGCCAAAAGACAAGCAAAACAAACGCCCGTCTTCTGGTGCACCTGTCCGCTGAAGCAAGAAGAACCGCAAACTCTTCAAGAGACTTGGCTACTGCGGAGTACAGTTTCTTTTTTGCGAGAGTACGGTCATTCCACAGGAAGACCCATGCAGTTCCTCTTACAGCCGCCAACCAAAACTGCGTGTAAGTTCTTTGGCAAAAGTCTGCACACTCGGGGGGGTTGTGTGTGCCGTTCTGGGGGGCATGGCGCGGATCCCGCTCTTTCTGCTGCAACAAAACCCAAGCGCCCCCCCCCCCTTCTTTGAGCTGCTGCTGCTGCGATCCCCACCCGACCGCCCAAGGCGCTGGAGTCCGGCCGCCTGCCCTCCCAGCTCCCTTGCCAAGCCACTCCGACCAGCAGACCCCAAAATAAAGAGAGCCCGTGTGTCCTCCCTACCTCTGCGGCAGCCTCCACCATACCCCACCGCCCTCCTAAGACCTCGAGGAGGAGGGAAGGGCGACTCAATAGCGAGGCGGCCCTCAATCCCCTCTTCTTCCCACCCACCCCAAGCCCCACAGTGAGCAGATGCACAGGCGGCCGCCGGCCCCACTGCACTCCCCTGGAGGACCGGTTCCCCAGCAGACCCGCTTAGGCCCCTTCCTCTCACCCTTCATCTTCCTCGTTCTTGCTCGCGTCGATTTTGGCTCCCTCCGACTCGCCGCCGCCGCCTCCTCCTCCTCCGCCGCCGCCTCCCCCCCCTTCTGCACTGTCGCCGCCTTCGCCGTCCCCTCCTTCCGCGCCCGCGTCTCCCTCAAGCTGCTCCGTCTGCTCCGAAGCCTCCGCCGCTTCTGCGTCGCCGGCAAACTGCTCCTGCTGTTCCTCCGACATGGCTGCCCTGCGGCCTCGGCGGGTGACGGGAGGGGAGGGGGGGATACGAGAGAAGAGCCGGGGACGGAGACTGTGGCGGGGAGGCGGCTGCGCTTCGCCCAGCAACGAGCGCGGGAGCTGGGGGGGCCTTTTCTCCTCCTCCCCCCGCCTCCTTTCTCACGCTTTAATGGCGCCGCCTCGATGGTCCCTACCTAAAATGGCCGCCGGAAGGGCCGCAGCGGCGCGGTGGGTCACGTGGCCGCCGCCGGATTACGAGAGGGAGAGAGACGGGTGGCGGTGGTTATGGGGCCCATGCGCCTTAGAGGCGAGGTGAGAACAGCGCCATCTAGTCTCCGCCCACTGGAGAAGAAAACAAGGGAGTAATCCCTCACCAATGGCGACTTTCGACTCAGTTCCGGAAGTTTAAGTTGTTGTTGCCGCTCTAGTCCTCTCTTTACTGGCGCTCCATGGTTCGTTTCAATCCGTCCCTTTATGAGATGGCCGCCATGACGTGCGTGCGCAGTTGGAGAGGGGCGCCTGAATAATAGATGAGAGGAAAGCGGCGGTGCAGAGCGGCCCCCCCCCCCCCAGGAATGGAAAAACGGACGCGGGAAGCCAGGGAGAGAGGGAGAGAGATATAGGCGCCTTCTGCTGGTTACGTAATGGGTGGCCGTTCAGGGTTGGTAGCTCTGGGTTGGGTAATATCTGGAGGCGACCTCAGCGGGGTGTAATGCTATACAGTCCACCTTCTGTAAAGCAGTTGCTTTGTCCAGGGGACTGATCTGTGTTGGCTGGAGACCAGTTGTAATTTGGGGAAATCTCCAGCAGCAGCCACCAGGTGGAGGTTGGCAATCCTACACTGGCAGATGTTGCAAGGAACTGTTTTTAATCTTATTGTTTTATGTTTGTCGGTGTACAGGTGGGGCAGGCCCATAGCCCGAAATTTCCCGGCAGAGGGCTTTGAGATTTTTCTTTGGGGGGGGGGGGGGTGTTTTCAGATGCTGAACTGCAGGCTGTGGAAGGTCGGTAGTTCAGCAGTTCGAGACCCGGGTGCCGCATGATGGCGTGAGCTCCCATCTCTAGTTCCAGCTCCTGCCACCCTAGCAGTTCGAAAGCAAGAAATTGCAAGTAGATAAATAGGTGCCACTTCGGTGGGAAGGTAACAGCGTTCCTTGCGCCTTGGTGTTTAGTCATGCCGGCCACATGACCACAGAAACGTCTTCGGACAGCGCTGGCTCTTCGGCTTTGAAACGGAGATGAGCACCGCAACCCTAGAGTCGGATTTGACTGGCTTTCGAGCAAGGGAACCTTTACCTGTGCCCTCACACTAGTGATGTCCCCACATCTGACTCTTCTCTGAGGAGCGCTGAAGATGAGGCAGCCAGGCGGTAGGGCGGCAAGTGGTGCCAGCCAGCTGAACCAGCGAGTTGGATCTCTGAAACCTCTTGGAGAGCCAACATGCTGGCTGGTGCTGGGGCTCGCTGGCTGGTGCTGGGATTCCCCAGCAATTTTATAGGGGGTTGAGCCCCTAAAGCCCGACTACTGGCTACAGCCCTGAGGTGGGGTCTGGAGATCTCCCAGAATTCCAACTGGTTTCCAGACTACAAAGATACATTCTCCAGGCTGCTTTAAAGGGTAGACCGTATGAGCTCTCTCCTCAACCCCTGCCCTCCCAGGCTTCACTCCCAAATCTCCAGGAACTTCTGAGCCCAGAGCTGGGAGACCTAGACAGACTAGTGCTGAACTACTCTTTGGGAGACCCAGGTTTGAATCCCCACTCTGGCATGGAAGCTTGCTGGGTGACCTTGGGCTAACACACTGTCAGCCTAACATACAAGGTAGAGTTGCCATGAGAATAAAATGGAGATATAACTACTTTGGGTCCCTATTGGACTAGAAAGGCAGGGTAAAAAGGTAAAGGTTCCCTTGCTCGAAAGCCAGTCGAATCAGACTCTAGGGTTGCGGTGCTCATCTCCGTTTCAAAGCCGAAGAGCCAGCGCTGTCCGAAGACGTTTCCATGGTCATGTGGCCGGCATGACTAAACACCAAGGCGCACGGAACGCTGTTACCTTCCCACCAAAGTGGTACCTATTTATCTACTTGCAATTTCTTGCTTTCGAACTGCTAGGTTGGCAGGAGCTGGAACTAGAGATGGGAGCTCACTCCGTCATGCGGCAACCCAGGTCTCGAACTGCTGAACTACCGACCTTCCACAGCCTGCAGTTCAGCGTCTTAACCACTTGATCCACCACAGCTCCATGGAAAGGCAGGATATAAATGAACAAATAAATAAATCCCACCAATTGATTCTGCTTCTCCGGTGGAAATCCTTTGTGTCTGATCAGACAGAAATGACTGAAGCCACCAAAAGCCTGCTCCCTTAACACCAACTCTCTATGTCAGTTGGTGGTTACAAATGGCCTGGTCAACTGTTTCAATAGTGATGACTGTCCCCCAATCAACTTTTAAGTGAAGACCATCTACCGGTGAACCTAAAGCTATCTCCGTCCCAATCTCTGGCCAGATTGAAATTGGTCAGGAGCAGATGTGTCATCCGGGAGCCTTCAGAGCTGTTCTGCCCCACATACTCTTATCACCTTCCCCCCAAAAAGGTAAGGTGAAGACTGACTTATAACCAGCCACTTCATCCATAGCCAATGACACTTTGTTTTAAAACAAGTGTCTAATAATTGCCTCCTACAAAGGTCTAGGGAGAACCCCCTCAGCCAATGAGACATTAAGGAGTTTCACCAGTTATTTTTCACCTTTTCTTGGCATGACTTTCAAAGCTGGGGTGGGTGCAGATCTAGAGCAGGTGGTGTTGTTAGCATCCATAGGTAAGACTGGTCTGAATTGATCCATGTTACACTATAGTAACCCTCCAACCAAAGCATTGAATAACAGCACCAAAGAACGAAAGAGGATGCAGAGTTAAATAAACAAAGCATCACTACAGAAAAATGATGTGCCCTGACCTATCTGGGCAAAGTGATTGAAAGAGCAATTGTGGACCAGCTCCAGGTCTTGGTTAACTCACTGGTTCTAGGCCTTCCATCACTCTGGCTTCAGGGCGGGCTATGGGACCAAGATGGCTCTGCTAGTTTTACTTGATTACCTCCATATGGGTGTAGACAAAGGCCATGCCTCTCTGTTGCTCTTACTAGACTTCTGCAGCTTTTGATACTGTAGATGATACTATCTTGTAGAGGTGCGTGGGGGCAGAAGTAGGCATCAAGGGACACAGGCTGAACTGGTTCAAATCAGAGGGTTGGCATTGGGAACCAGTTAGCTTCAGTGTGGGACCTCTCCTGTGGAGTTCCACAGGGTGCATTTCTATCCCTCATGCTTTTCAATATCTGCTTGAATCAAACTGATTACATTTTGCATTGTACCTTGCATCCTTTACAAGCATTCTGACTGGAATGAAAGGACTCAAAGATCTCAATTTCTATTCATATCTGATGAAGGGAGCTTTGATTCTTGAAAGCTTATAACTCTGAAAATCTTGTTGGTCTCCAAGGTGCCACTGGATTCCAATCTATTGCAGACCAACATGGTACTCTCTGAAGACCTGGTCATGTGGTAGACGTCCTGAATCAGTGCTTGGCTGCTGTGATAAACTGGCTAAGAATAAACAAATTGAAATTAAATCCTGAAGAGGCAGAGGTATCGGCTAGGTTGGGAAGGAGGGGATCTTGAAGGACACTGTACTCCCCACCAGTATTCCCTCTAAGCTGAGCTAGTGTTGAGCTACCTCACAGTTTTTTAGCCACTGGCTCACACATTTCTGTCTTAGCTCAGGAAGGATGGCTCCCAAGCAAACTGAGCGCCCAAATCGCTCGCTCACAACTTTAATGCCAGCGGCTCACAAAGTTGAATTTTTGCTCACGAGACTCCACAGCTTAGAAGGAGCATTGCTCCCTACTTTTGATTGGCGTTCAGCTGACCCTTGCCAAGTCAGTTAAAAGCCTTGGGGTTGTACAGAGAGATGGAGGGAGGGAGTCACATACTCCTGCCAAGACAAGGTTCCCCCATCCTATAATTATGCATTTGATCTTTCCTATCTAAATGCAGAACTTTACATTTATCCCCATTGAAATTCATTGTATTTGTTTTATCCCAGTTTTCCAGCCTGTTGTTAGCCCCATTGCTTTATCTACAGCAATTGGCAAATTTTAAACTGGGTGCTTGCCAACTATACCAAGGTCCTGTTCCCACCAAGGGTTACCAGAGAAGGAGTTCGAGGCTGCTGTTGTTAAAATAACTGTCTTTTACTTAAGAAAAGATATCACATACAAACAATACTGATGCGCTCACACATTCAATCAAGCTCCTTAGAAATACAGTATTAAAATAAGCACGTTTGCATCAGCAGGTAGGGTGATGGTGGGTGATACTTATTTGTCTTCACAGCGTTGGTTGTTCCAATGAAGAATAGAGGGGAAGAAATGGAAAACTAAAGGGAATTAACACACAACCAGAACCAGCCAGCACATGTGGGCAAAGGAGGCAAGGGTTGGGGATAGCAAGCTGGACTTAAGAGGAGTATAAAGCAGACAGAGGGTGTTGCAGGGGAGATGCTAGTTGATCAAGTAGGAGAGAGAGAGAGACCATGTGACTGGTTCCCTTCTTTTATCGGGGATCCAGGAGGTGGTGTCAGAACCCACAGCTAACAACGAAGTACACGCATTTATGAATGGTTATACTTTTATTGCAAAGCTATAGATGCAGTAACCAATGTTCCCTCTAAGCTGAGTTAGTGTGAGCTAGCTCAGTTTCTGAGCCTCTGGCTCACACATTTTTTTCTTAGCTCAGGAAGGATGGCTGCAGAGCAAACCAGTTTATGCAGTAGCCAAATCACCTGCTCACAACTTTAATGCCAGTAGCTCACAAAGTAGAATTTTTGCTCACAAGACTCCATAGCTTAGAGGGAACATTGGCAGTAACATAGGCACTGTTAAGAATGGCGGCAACCAACAGAACCGATTAGGATATAGGGTATTCGTATGCACACACGCACACACCCCCGATGGCATGGGGCAATTAGGTTCCCTCCCGCGCGCGGGTGAAGTTAGAAAGCTGAGAAACAAGCGTCTCTCACGGTACGTAGGAGACTTCTAGACTATGCATCCTCCTCAAGCACATCTATAGAGATAAGCGTTTCAGCAAGGCAGAACAACAGGGTTAGGAATGCAATAGCAATTAATACAACACAGACTGAACTCCCCAACCCCCGTGGCAGCATAGCTGACAGGTGGGTGTTGACGGTGCCAACCTCCTGGCCCACCTTCCTGTTAGTCCGTCCCAAAAACAATCCTATTGGTTGCCTATAGGAGTGGGAGATTGCCTGAAGGAGTGGTCAATATTGCAATCTAATACCTTACTCAAAGAGGGCCATCTGGTCAGGTGTGAAAACCTTGACTTCAGGATGCTTCATTGAAGTGCAGATGATGTTGGCCATTCTCTTTGTGAAACAAATGTCCATTTGGCAGGAAATACCAATGTAGAACAAAGCATGGATGTGTCCTACGTGATCACTATTGATTCAGCAATGGGGGCTGTCTCTGCTCAAGTTGTTGTTTTGCTGACAATAATGGAGATGTGTGCTTCCCCACAAGGCTGAACTGTGTAGCTGAAACCTCATTCACGTGTAAGGCTTATGCAGGCACCTTCTATGTGTAGTATCACAACAGGTGACTTGTACAGCTTTCTTTGAGCCTATGGGTGTATGTGCACAGTCCATTGTGTGTGTAGCAATAAACATTGTCCATAAAACAAATATCAATCTCATTCCTTAACACTGTCAAGATCATCCTGTATCCTGACTCTGTCTTCTACCAATTTGCTCCCCCTCCCAATTTAGTATCATCTGCAAATTTAACAAGCATTCCCTCTATTCCTTCATCCAAATCATTTATGAAGATATTGAACAAAACAGATCCCTGAGGCACTTCACTTGTCACTCCTCTCCAAGAGGATGAGGAACCACTCACAAGCACTCTTTAGGTGCAATCTGTCAACCGGTTACAGATCCACCTACAAGTCACAGGATCCAAACCACATTTTACCAACTTGTCAACAAGAGTATTATAGGGTACCTTATCAAAAGCCTTATGGAAATCAAGATAAACTATGTCTACAGCATTCCCATGATCCAGCAAGGTAATTTCCTCAAAAGAGATGTTAGTCTGATGTGACTTCTTTGTGAGAAACCCATGCTGGTACTGTGTTCTCTGTATTTAACAGGGCTTAACAGACTCTGAGTGACTTAGGGAGCTCTGTCAGTTATACTGTATCCAGCACTGTTGCTGGAGAAACAGATTTAGCTAATGGCTTCATTTATTTATTTTATTTGTTAGACTTTTACCCCACCCTCCCGCTGAAGCATCTAGCAGGCAAGTTAGCTCCCCATCTCATCCAACAACTATCCATGCAAGAATAGCTTCAAGACTGGATTATTGTAGGATCGCCTTTGAAGACAATTTGGAAACTTTATGTAGGTAAAAGGTAAAGATTCCCTTGCTCGAAAGCCAGTCGAATCCGACAGAGCCAGCGCTGTCCGAAGACATTTCCGTGGTCATGTGGCCGGCATGACCAGACACCGAGGCGCATTGAACGCTGTTACCTTCCCACCAAAGCGGTACCTATTTATCTACTTGCAATTTCTTGCTTTCAAACTGCTAGGTTGGCAGGAGCCAGAGACAGGAACTCACTCTGTCATGCGGCACACTCGAGTCTCGAACTGCTGAACTACCGACCTTCTGGTCTGCAGTTCAGCATCTTAACTACTTGAGCCACCACAGCTCCCAGATATAACACGTTTTAATAGCACTTCACTGGCTGCTAGTTGTTTCCAGGTTTAATTTAAGGATTTACAGGGACGGAAACACACATATTTATGGGATCACCTCTCCCACTATGTTCTACCATGACAGCACATCTGTTCAGATCTTTCTGACAGGCTGGAACAGCACCTGTTCATTTCAGCGCTTTTCCTGTACTGGCCCCAGGTAGAGGAACAAATTTCCTCATGCTGTTGGGAATGCACCCACACTATTGTTTTGAAGGCCAATAAACTTGTGTTATTTGAATGGGAATCTCAATTCCCTGAGTCCAGTGGCACCTTTAAGAACAAGATATAAGCTTTCATGTGCATGTGTACTTCATCAGATAACCATGCACACAAAAGCTTATACCTTGAATAAAACTTTGTTGGTCTTAAAGGTGCCACTGGACTCAAACTGTCCTGCTGCTTCAGACCAACACGGCTACGCACCTGAATCAATTCTCATGACAGTCCAGCTTGTGTGTCAGAGGCCCCGGTCACACGGCGGGGGGGGAGGGGGGGGGGGGAGGCGTGGCTGTTTGCCCCGCAGCGAAATAACGCACGACTGCGCAATCAGGCGTGCCCTCGTGGTCCCGTGGTTAGGGGGGAGGTGCCAATCACACGACGCGCCAAAGAAGTGGTGCGGCACGGCAAACGGGGTTGTTGGGTTTTTTAACCTGAAGTATGCGCATTCCCCTTTGGGTGCTTGTGCGCATCCCTGGAGACTTGGAAAAAAACCCCACCTTTTTGCAATGGGGCATGGGCAGGCGCCGGATGCCACCGGAAACGCAATCAGACGCCCGCCCTTGCCCCGCGGTTTCTGGAAACTAGTACCTCCGAAGTACTAGGTTTTTTTTACCGCGCATCTTCGGCGGGAAGCCTCGGGTGAGCCACGGGAGCTCTACGCTTCCCAGATGTGGCGGTGAGATCGCGCCCGGAAAATCCGCCTATCTTCCGTCCTTCTAGCGTGGCTAATGCTCCGTGTGACTGGGGCCAGATACTGGTATTGCTACATTTTTGTTTTATTAGGGTTTTCAAGTAATATTATAACCTGCTGAGAGCTTTTATAAATAAACCTGAAACACACCCAAGAAAACATACTTAGGACAGCATTGTACGAAGTACAGAATCCTTATACCACTAAAACTTAATCCAATACCTGACTGCAGGTGTTTATTTTCACCCTAACACCTCTGCTTCCCTACCAAGTTGTTAACGCTTCCCTCTCAACTAATTTACAGAGACAAAGTTAGTGCAAGAAACACTATACTCCTATTCTCTTACAGAATACTGGGCAGAAACAAGGTTGACAACTAAAAGATTTTGCATTCATCTACATAATGAACAAGCTGTTGTCCACTCCAGGGTACCCTAGAAATTCTGACATAAATGGCCTTGGGAACATTCAGAGATAAAGGTGTGCATCTGAACCTGTCCCTTTGGCAAAGTAGCAACAGGAACACAGAGGCATGTAAGAAGAGCCCTGCTGGATCAGAGCAGTGGTCCATCTCATCTAGCATCCTGTCTCAGTGGCCAACCCGTTTCTCTGGCCAGTCAACAACGAGGCATAGAGGCCAAGGCCTTCCCCTTGATGTTGCCTCCTGGCTCTGGGATTCAGAGGATTAGTGAATGTGAAGGAATGTGAAGGTTCTCCCATGCCATCACATCTAGAAATTGGCACATCTGACTGAAGGGCAGGCATCGCAGGATTAGGAAGTTTTCTCCACAGCAACAGCTTTTAAAAGCCACCACTGCTCTTATGTACTTGACTTCAAGAAAAAAGAAGACTTCAGTTTTGAAGAAAATATTTAAACATTACACTAGGTTGAGTTCTGTTTTAAATCCCATCTTCCAGGTTCCTAAACTACACAATCAGAATAAAATACAAATATTCCTTTGGACAGGGATTCTGTTGAGAGCTGGAGAGCTGGTTTCTTGCAATCCTGCTGACAACCTAACTGCTACAAGTTAGAAACAAGGATGAGGAGGCTGTTAAGAAGGTAGCAAGCAGGATGGAAAGGCAATTAAAAGGATTCCCCTTACATGCACCTAAGTTTGTTTTCTCCTGCTTTTGCTTCTAAGGTAACATGTACACCTTTAGAGAGCATGTTTAGTATGTACATATAGGATATCTAGACTTTTCCCATGTTACATAAAGGTTCTTCTTAAATACTGTTTTTCAATAAATGTATTTTCCTTATCTCTGAAAGTAATGTTTTTAGAAGGCAAGTGTAAGATATGCTCAGATAAACACACATGGCTATATTAAAACTGGGCTGAATACAAAAACTATTTTTGTCTCTGCTTACGCCCAGTCAGGAAGTGTTTGTACATTCCATGTAATAACCATCTTCATGGTATATTGTCAATTCCTACACTTTAAATTCAAGTAGTGACAAGTGTAATTACACTTGTGTAAAAGTACCTGTTTTCATTTTAGAATAAGGCTTCCAAGAGACACTTCCCTGCAAACATTCCACTTGTCAGCCACTGACAACTCTTTATCAAAAGGAGACTGTAATTTGAATACAATTGGGTTCACAGAGAGCACTGGCTGTGAATAAGCATAAATGAACCAAACAGTTATATGAATAAGGTTTATTCTTGTTGCCTGTGTATTCAACACATTGTCACCCAAAGTCAAACTGACAAGACAGTGTCTAAAACACAAACCTGCAGATTACTATTGGGCAAAATTAGTCATGAAGAAAAGAACATAGCTACAACAAACAGGCAAGTCTACATCTTCTATTGCAAAATGGTAATATTCCAGCTGGCAGACGGGAGGATTGAATGCACCTGCCTAACACCACTCCATGTATTCAAAACTATGATTTCCAAAAGGCTAAAAACTCCTCCCATGCAAGTTCTGCTGATCTGTTCCCCACTGAAGTCAATGGGCTTAAATTCCATTGAGGATGGCACTGATGGTCTAACGGATACCATGTGGAGTTTCTAATAGCAAAGTGGGTAGGGTCTCCCGGCTGGTGTCTGTTTTAGCATTCTTTTTTATTGAAAAGCTTGTCTTCAGGTGGTCTACTGAAACACAGAATTTATGGACAGGAGGCAAAAGGTAGTTTCTATTAATAAAGTCCAAATAACCAAAATCCAGAAATCAAGTCAACAAATCAAAATTTTGAAGAGATCTGTGGCCTCTAGAGAAGCTATGGGGAATTTGAGCCTGCAAAAACTTGTGCCACACTATGTGCGAGTATAAAGAGCCTCAAGTCATTATTCAACTGATATGTTTATTACACCAGACCCAATTTTTAATCCAGTTTATTAAAAATGCCAAAACACAGCCCCATTACAGCGATCCCTTTTACAAACACTCAAGGGGCCACACTTCCACCAAAGGACATTCACTTGCTTCTGTTCTGAGCAAAGGCAAATTGATTCTTCATCACATTGTGATGTTGCCATTAAAAGTCATGGCGATCACTAATTATGTTGCATCACTGTGTGGGATGCTGCTGTTTGAAAACCAGGAATGCTACACACACAGAACATCCCCCTTGTACATCCAGGCATCGTTATGCCTTGATGCGCCTTGTTCGGGCACACTAGGCCAATTCTTACCCACATAACAATGCTGCAACAGTTGTCCGAATTCAGAAGGCAGCAATCACAGAAGCATTTTATTTGGGAATCGGTCAACATGGAATTATACAAATAAAAATTGTATAAACACAAAACCACATTTGCATCATAACACGGATGACAAAAAGGACAAAGTAAAAACCATAAAGAAAACTAGTTCGGCCACTATGTACAGTTGGACACTCTTGTGTCATACTCTAAAAGTCTTTTACAAAATAATCTCATGTCACGAAGACCACCCTCCAAGTCGAGTCCTGATGTTCTGCAAGATGGCTTTGTTGTAGAGTCTCCACCTACAAAACCAAGACAAAACCATGATGAGGCCTGTGAAACATTTACAAGCATTTTAAAAGGTCCACTTTCATGAACTGCTTTAAGTCCTTTATTTATTCCTTGCTTCACTGTTAAAGATCATATGCATATCTGTTGACATGAAATATCTGATGACCCAATTAGGCTTTACATGCCCAGATGTACCAGTTCAGCTCAAATGATGGAGCTATTTCAGATAACTGTAGAAAACTCGGAAAGAGGAAAATTCTTGGTTTGCTAAAAACCAAGCCGTAGAAGAGCCTTTCATGGCTTCAACTGCTAGTAGGAAAGAAAAAGTGGCGATTACACCAAGGAAAATGTTAGCCAGGTGATTCCAATACAGCCCTGCTGCTTGCATATGATCTTTAATGTTCCCAGATTTAAAAGTTCGTTTTTGGTTTGTAGATTTCACTAAGCTATAAAAAGAAAAAAGCAAGCATTAAATCTTAAAGAACGAACACTTAAAATGAGGTTCCACAATTGATATACAACACTAAACAGAAGACCAAAAATGATTAAGCTGTAAAGGCATTTATGCACTTTAACTCCTGTAAAAAACCATTTTAAGTTAAGACACTTAGAAATCTTCAAAGAAGATTTTTTTAAAAAAAGAAGCCAAAGTCTGAAGTTTTCCAGTTTAATCTTTACGCTGGTACATGAAGTTGGAAGAGACCATACCACAGGACAGCGTTTTCTGGTGTATGCCTTGCGCTCTGCCTGCAACGTGCGACCCCCAGAGATAGACGTGGTCAGGGTGACACACGGCCTGCAATGAAGTTCCCGCTGGCGGGTACAAACAAGGTATAATGTCAGAGTTAGAAGACAACAATCTTGTTTTGCTTAAGTTGTACCCATTTCAGTACTTTACCTGTTGGTTAACACTTCTACAAAGTTTTTAATTATTCCTCTACACCACCTGGTACACATTGTAAGCAGAAAAACTCTTATGTTTCTCTGAAGTACTAAGGACGCCGAACCACCTTTTACAGAGTTAAAGATCTATAGACACTTAAGGCAAAAGAGTTTTTTTTAAAAAACACATCTTTAAAAAACACGTTTTCATTTTTTTTAAAAAAAGAGTCGGGCTATCCAAGAAAGTGGTTTTTACTTGTTTGTCTATTGATCTTTAAATTAGATTAGAGGTATGGAAGTTGACGCTTTCACTCACTACACACCTGTTTCTTCTCAAGTGCTCCTTTAGTATGGCTGGTAGTTGTTTTGGTGATTACCGCCACCTCGGGAGGCCTTTCCATATGTGCTTTGCTGTCCTGTCGAGTAAAACCAAATGAAGCTCAATCTCGAGTACAACTTAGTACTATCAAACTATGACTGAGATCTATTAGAAAAGCTTTTGGTCAATTTTGGTTTTATTTTTTTTATCACGTACACACCACCACTCTATTCCAAACTTTAATTGGAATCGTTTCATAATGTCTATACAACAAACTTGCCACCAAGAGTTGTACTACCTTGTCCTGCTTCACTGGAGCTCCCAAAGCTCCACGAAGAGAGGAGAACCCTATGGGCAGAGAGACACTATTGCAAAAGGGAGAAGAGAAAGTCCCCTTACCACTGTAGTCGGCGTATCCCTGTCCATAGCCGTAACTCGGGTAGTTATACCCAGAATAATCATATCCACCGTAACTGCTGTAGCTCTGATCGCTGTAAGGACTGTTGTAACTTCCATATCCTTGATCATAATAATTATTATAGCCTTGGTTCCAGTTCTGGCCTTGACCTAAAATGAAGTGACAATTCATAAAAATTCTAGCCCTGTTACTGTTTTAGCGAAAAGAATGCAAAGCTGCCGAGCCACACAAAAACACACACCTGCTTTTAAAAATACACTCCCCCATTTTGGCTCTAGCTCCGCACTGGAAGACTAGATTATGCACTCTGCCTCTCTGCAAGAACAAGAATGGAGAGCAGCATTCCCCTCCTTCCCGGCATGCGCACTCATGATTGGTTAGAAACTTCCCCTTTGTTTCTGACTGTGTGCTTTCAACAGGCAATTCAAGACTAAAACCACACTTACCCCTGCCGCGTCCTCGGGAACCACCACGTCCACCCGATGAAGTACCTCTGCCTCCCTTCTGTTGTTGCTGCTGCTGTCTATACACGTCTTTGGGCTGTGCTACTTTGATCTCACACTAAAGGAAACAGAAATTGCTTGACTTTAATAACATAAAATATTGAAATTTCAACAGCCATTCCTTTTCCAGAAATGCCAAACAGGTTCTTAAAACTGAGCACAAATACCTTTCCAGATCCAATCTGATGGTATCTGCTTTCCAACAGCTTCTTTACTGGCTCTTCATCTGTGTACGTGATGAAACAAAACCCCCTCCTTTCATTTGTCTTTGTGTCCATGGGAAGCTCGATATTTTCAATCTGAAATCCACATGAAACTGTTACATGCTGAATCAACATAAAAAACACCCCATACTTCCCTTAAAGCTATCCCACTGTATGACTTGCCTCATCTTTTCTGCCCTGGTTTCGTCTATGACACACCTTTCCTCCACTAGCACCTCTACCGCTCATTCTCATACCATTCTGCCACAATGTCATGTATTCCAACTCAAATTCCTACAAGGTATCAGCTCTTGAAAATTCCTCCTTTATAAAAGTTACAGGTTTAATACTTCTATATCAAACCCTTGAAAATAATAACTAAAGATTTTAGCCCTTTTGACTCCCCTATCCTTTAACTTAACGATATATACACCAATGGTGCAACAGCAATAAGCATGATTACTATTTTGAAATTACTTTTGAATCCTACTCCCAATGTACTTTTTGCACAGTTCCTAATTATCCTCTCTTCTGAAACTCTTGTGTCCCACTGAGCTCTGGAATTTTAAACCACTGTAGTATACCTTAGATCAGCAAAAGGAGTTTACCATCTACTATGGTACGTGTCAGCCCTCAACTGCAGACACTCGCATTCAGGCTAGAGGTACCCACATTTAGCCACTGGACCATACCTCTCCAAAGCCGCCAAAATACTCTTTTATTTGCTCCTCAGATGTATCAGGACTCAGTCCACCAACAAACACTTTTTTAGGTGGCTCTTTCCCCTTCAAAGCTTTTGCTCTTTTGGGATCTATTAACTTGCCATCCAACTTATGTTCTTTCAGTTCCAATACCTAAAAAACATACCAGAAGATTATTGTGAAGAAAAGTCCACGAGTATACAGTTGAGTTCCTTATGACTATATACAGTGTGAAATACCTTTTCGACACTGGCAGCGTCTTTGAAAAGCACAAACCCAAAGCCTCTGGACCGCCCGGTGACAGGATCTGTTTTAATTGTGCAGTCCACCACTTCTCCAAAGCGAGACAAGTATTCTGTCAAGTCCTTTTTGCTTGTATCCCAGCTCAAGCCTCCAATAAACATTTTACTGCAATGGGAGAAAAGATGTATTTCAGTGATGTTTTCAAAAAGCTTTATTTATCACTGCAGTCTTGCTCCATCTATAGAGGCTCCCAATCTGCTTCCAGGCCCAATTCAAGTATGGTATTGGTCTTTAAATCCATATATGGCTTGGGGCCAGCAGACCTTAAAGACTGCCTTCTCCCATATGAACCCACCCACCTATTCTGGTCATCTTGGGAAGCCCTGCTTCAGGTGCCCAACCTGAGGCTAGACACATGGCAGCTCGAGAAAGGGCCTCCCTCTACCATCGTCTTCTGCTAGTGGCTGAAGACTTTCTTTTCAGCATATCCTCAGTAACAGTTATTGGCCTTCCTCCCTTACAGCATTTATGTACATATATGTTTTTATCGGATTTTTTAATGGTACATAAACTTTATTTTAAATGTGGTTTCAAATGTTTGATGTTCAGCGTGCTGGGGACCCTATTTGGGTGGAAAGGTGGCATACAAAGGTTTTAAGTAAATAATAAATATCTGTAAGCTGATATCCGTTTTCCATTAGCACACTCAAGATGGCTGACAAAGCTGAAATCCTGCGAAGCAGTCATGTCAGTGCATTACAAAAAGAAACCATTAACACATGCAGTTTAGCTGGATTGCTTCTCCCCATGTAAATACCAGTTAACATCACAAAGGGCAATTCCATAAACATACAACAAGGTTCACATATACATACACACAGATGGGAGAAATGGCCGCCGCTTACATCATCCTAAAGAGTTTCACTGAGCTACCACATACAACAGAAAATGTCTTTTAAAACATAGAATTATGTAGGAAACATATTAAGGCATTTTTCCCATTAGTGAAAAGCCACACCAGCCACAGCCAATTGTTGGTTTAATTTATTAGGAGGCACAGAGAGATTCCAGAGGATTCCTGTGACGTTTTGGTTGTAGCAACAGCTAGCTGCCTTGCCACACCTTAAAAGGCCAACAGATTTATTACTGCATAAACTTTCATGACGCACCTGACAAAGTAGGCTCCAACCCACAAAAAGCATATGCCAAGATACATTTCTCAATTTTTTAGGTACCCCAAAGATCTTATGTGGGCCACAAAAATAGAGAGACAGTGAAAGGAGAACAGAGCAAAGCTGCCTGAGGGAAAAGAGAACCCTCTTTAGTTCAAAATCAATATGAACCTCAACAGGGGCACCTTCTTCCCCCTCTAAGGGACAAGCTGAGCTAGAAAAATCTCTTCTGCCAGACATCTATTAGGAGCCTCAAAGCAAAAATTGGGGGCACATTCTGCAACACCTCCCACCCCCCTCCGATCGATTTCCACCCCAGCAGCCTTATTTTGGCATTATTAGGCAAGACAATTTCAGAAAGTAGGTGCATTGGTCTGCAAATTAACAGTCCAGAGCACTTGAAAGACCAACAATTCTTGAAGTTAAGATTTGAGCCCAGTAACAAGATGTTCAGGTTATGAGCTTTGAGAGTCAAGGCTCCCTTCATCAGACGAGAGTCAACCCTTTCTAAAAGAGAGAGGAATTTTAAAACGGGGGGGGGGGGGGGGAGAGATTAGAGACGTTTATAAAATTATGTATGAGGCGAGGAGAGTTGACAAGAGAGACATTTTTCTCCCTCTCCCAAAATACTAGAACTCGCGGGCATCCAATGAGGCAGATGGGCAGTATATTCAAAACGGACAAAAAGAAATACTACTTTACATAGAGAGTGATTAAAATCTGCAATTCGCTGCCAGAGGATGTGGCAATCCAGGAATAAACAGCTTTAGATAGATTCGTGGAGGACAAATCCATCAATGGCTACTAGCCGTGGTGAGCATCCAGAGGCACTCATCCTTCTAAAATCCCGATAACATCAGGGAAAGGCCTCGGCCTCCATGCCGTTGTTGGCCCTCTGGAGGAACCGGTTGGCCACTGCGCGAGACTAGATAGACCGTCCTGTCTGCTGAACGCCTCTTTCTGCGTCCCCTGCAGAGCCGCTCTCTTCCGTTCCTCTCCTGCCCGGGCTCTCCCTCCCCGCATTCCCCAGCTCTGATCGCCCCGCCTATTCTTCTGCACACGGCACTCTTCTCCCCCTCCTCGGGCATCTCAGGCCACCTCCCGACGTAACCCCGCCCCTCCGAGTTCCTACAGGCTGGCGGCTACGTCATGGCACCTCACCGGCCCCGCCCACTTCTAAGTTCGGGCCCGCGCGAGAGACCAAGGAGGGGGGAGGGGAGCGACACAAAGGGAATTCAAAACGGGGGAGGGAGGCTCTGGGACGGGAACAGCCCGGTCACGTGGCGACTGCTTAAAAAAGGGCCTCTGTGAAAGATAAGCCCCTCCCCCTTCCTCCTCTTATAGGCCAAAATGGCGCCAGGCTAGACGCCCCTCCCCCCCCGTACCCGTCATCCTGCTGGTTCTTGCTTGCGTTGATCTTGGAGCCCTCGGCGAAATCTTCCTGGCCGCTGCCAGCGTTGTTGTTATTGCTGCTGCCGTAGTCGGTGTTGTCCTCCATAGCGGAGACGGAAGAAACCGAGAAGGACAACAAAACAGAGAGAGAGAGAGAGAAAGTGAGGAGGGAAGGGGGAAGCCGAGCGGACGGCTCAAGCCGAGTGTTAAAATGGCGGCTGTAAGAAAAGATCCGGGCACAGGCGGAGACGGTTTTATATAAGCGCTCCCTCCGCCAATGGGAACAGCCCGGTAGCGCAGGCGCAGTCGCGGCCTCGAATGGAACCGTGGGAAGGCGGGGCCCAAAGCCCTGCGGGCCAATCAGGAGGCGCGAGCAGAAGAGCAATGGCGCCGGTGGGGGAGGGGCACGAGGCAGCCGCTCCCGCTCGCGTCGCGACAGATTTACCTGCCTCGGCTGTAAATTTCATAGAGTTCAATAGGACTACTTTCCTCGTAAAGTTAACGGCTAGTCCATTGAATTTTGCGGCGGCGAACGAACCTGGCTGTCGCGCTGGAATTCGTTTCCTACTGAAGCCGTCGACCTGTTTCCCTGCGGCCCAGGGTTTAGTTTCTGCCCTTTGCTGCCCGGGGAGCCTGTTTGCGTCAACGTGGTTCTCATTTCCCCCCCCTGCAATAAGAGCGGACGCCGAGCGCGTTCCTCTCTCTCTCTCCCTCTGGCTGACTGCAGAGAATCCTCACGGGACAGGCGCAGAGAACTGGGTCAGGGGGGGGGGCCGCATGGCCCCGCACCTTTTTCTAAAGTGCTGCGCCCAGGAAAGGTTGAGTGCTAGAAGGGTAGCCGAGGTAACAAACCAACCATGGGTCACTTTAAATCGCTAGCGATGGTCTTAGGAAAGCAGCTTTCCTGAGCCCCAGTCCAGCTCTTTTTCATTATTTCAAGGCTGCAGTCTTAGACGCACTTACTTTGCAGGAAGCCCCGTTTCAAGGCGAATGTACAGTATTGCATAGCAAACAGATTTATCGTTGCAACTACAATGTTCATTTTCAACCCCTATCCAGGTAGGATCAGATGATCCCAACTGAGAAGTACGTCTCAGGGGAACTTCCTGTACTCCCAGTGTCCATAGGAATGCGTACCAATTTATCCTTTCAGATTTACGCTGAAACGCCTCATAGTGCTATAAAAAAGCACAAGTAGAGCCTGCAGGATCAGACTATCCAGTCTATTCAGCCCAGCATCCCATTTCACACGGGCCAGCCAGTTCCTCTGCAGGTCCAGCAATGGCAGAGAAGCCTAGGCCTTCCCCTGATTGTTGCCTCTAGTCACTGGGATTCAAAGGTTTACTGCTCTGGATGTGGGGGTTCCTTTTAGCTACTATGGCTAGTAGCCACTGATAGATTGACTTTTGCTGCAGGAATCTGTCTAATCCTCTCTTAAGGCCTTCTGTGCTTATAGCCGTCACTACCTCCACTGGCAATGAATTTCACAGTATAATTACCAGTTGAATAAAGACATATTTCCTTTTATCTGTCCTCAGCCTATTTCCCAACAATGTCATTGGGTGCCCCAGAGTTTTTGTATTATGTGGGAGGGAGGAAAAAAACCTGCTATCCACTTTCTCCACCCCATGCATGATTCACACCAAGACTCCCCCTGCAAGCTTTTCCCATAAGATCTCCAGCCACATCTACCTAATTACGTGGATGGGATTCTTGAAAGCTCATATGGAAATAAATCTTGTTAGCCTTTAAATTTCCACTGGACTTTTATTTCGCCTTGCCAGACTAACACAGCTGTCCCTTTGCAGTCAAAGGTTTTGGTACATCTTTCCATCTGTTCAAAACTACAGTTCCTTAGGCCACTGCTGGTATCACCTTTCCTTCCCACTTCTAGCAACCTTAGCCAAGTGGAATTATTCTTGATGGATGAGACTTCCTTGTTTGTTTCTTTGAACACATACAATTGTTTTCTGTTGCCCCAGACCAGGGGTGGCCAAACTTGCTCAACGTAACAGCCACATTGAATAGATGTTTGAGAACCGCAAGACATGAACAGATATTACACACACGTTTTTATTGAAAAATATGCATATTTGCTTTTTTTAATTAACATTAAATCAGACTGTGTGAAAGAGCCACATGAAGCTCCTGAGCTGCAGTGTGGCCATCCCTGCCCCAGAAGGTTGGACCAGAACCAATGGGTTGAAATTCAATCAAAAGAGTTTTCGGCTAAACATTAGGAAGAACTTCTTGACCATTAGAGCG